TTCTTTATTTCATGGAAAGGAAGGAAACGAAGGATTTTGATTGGTACATTTTCTTATGCATTACGTATTATGCGTTATGCAAAAGTCTGTGCTCCCCGCTTTAAGCCTATGGCACATACAAAAACGTAAGGCCGTAAGACATAATCAGTAAGCGAATTGGCCAATCATGATAGAGACCGTAAGGCCAGTAGCGAATCCAATCTTACGATTTCTTTACTGCTTACGTATTACGGCCTTACGTTTTTGTATGTGCCATGGGCTTAACGATTTCTTTACTGCTTACGTATTACGGCCTTACGTTTTTGTATGTCCCATGGGCTTTATGACATTAAAAACATCATTTTGACACAAAATAATAAATAACATCTTACTACTTAGAAATGATATAATATTGCAAATTACTTATTTGAGTGTTAAACGCACAAAAAAAACAGTGTTCTTAATATTTAAAATAAATAATTCAGCTTCCGATATTAAAGATGTATTTTTTAACAAAATACAAATTTTTCTATATTATATTTAAAAATAGGAAAGTTTGAAGGCAATTTAGACCTGGATCAAACATTTTAATAAGAAGTGGACGTGTTTTTAAAAAATAATTAAGATAAAAAATAAGAAAATTTTCACTTATATATAAAATTACATTATTAAATATATTGATCTTATTGAACATATGCAACATTCATTTTTACACAAAAAGTATAAATTTTCAGTTCCAGTTATTTTTTGAGAGATTATATGTATATAGGTATATATATTTTAAAATGAGATCGATTCTGTATCTTAAAACGAGGTGAAAATTACAAAAGTGAGCGAATTTACTAGAATACTGATAATTTCATCAGTCAACACCTAACGAATTTGTTCACTTTTGTGATTTTTATTTCAAGATACACAATTGATCTTTGTATGTACATCTGATACATTCTTAAATTTCATTTCGTTTCATTCTTTAAAGGTTATATAATTCACAAAAAGATGAACGCAATTTAATTTCTCTTCCAAGATCACCCGAGTCCGATTGATTTTTGTGAATGGGTAAAGCACAGACAAGTACAAATAACTACGTGTATTTTATTAAAAATAGAGAAGCAAGGGGATTATACAGAAGTCTTTGGATAAAACATCAGTGTCGTTTATATGGGCTTAATCTTGAAGTGCAGTCCTATCAGAGAGAACACCAAACATTTGAGATCCTGCACGAGATAGTAGAAACATCGCAAACCCTCCGGATCCCGCGACTGGTTCACGTCCAGGAGAGAGCCAGTCTTGGAGGTGGTGAACGATATGTGCTCGTCGCCGATGACGATCTCCAGTTCCTGGCGTCCGACGCGGTCAGGTTGTGGCCAGAGCGAGTCGTCTTCCTGCATGATCTCCGAGTCCTGGATAATGCGCTTGAGCTCTTCCATCACACACTGATGCACATATGCCTCTTTGCGAATCATCGTGTCGTTCTTGTAGTTGGAGTTGTTGGCGTAGCGCAGCTTGCCGTCCGGCCGGAACTCGAATTCCAGGAACTCATGCCCAAACTTGCCCTTGTGGCCGACGTAATAGCGTATGTAAAAGTCCGTCGACATTCTCACTGCTGGTTATATCGTTCAGCAATTACAATCAGTAGCGGTGAAACGTCAAATGTTCAAGTTTTTTACACGAGACGTTCTTCTAATGGCTTCTAGCAATCGACGTCCGCCATTACTAAACATTAAACCGTTTTTTCATGTGGCGAACTTGGTAAGCTATTCGATATTATTAGGGTCAATTTCGATGTATCGATTGACACGTGATTGGTTATCGTAAAATTAGCATAATGACGTATTTATATAAAATAATGTATAAAATTATATTTATATGAAAATTATATATAAAATTATATAAGTCTGGGAGTTCGGAATTTAAGGATGTATACACCCGTATTTTTTAACAAAATGAAAAGATTATGAAAAAATTACAGATTTTTTAATATTGTATTTATGTATGTGTGAAAGTAATACAAAGTTTGGTAGCGATTTAAAATCTGAATAAAAAAATATTTCAATAAGAAGTAAACATATTTTTAAAAAAAGTGATTGGTCAATTTTCTACTTAAGACCCTACGACCGCTACGACTTCTATTGTAGACCCCGCATTATTTAAATTATATATAAAATTGTATTGTTAAACATATTAAATATATATTAATTTTATTGACCTGTTTCATATGTATCTAACATTCATTTATATGAAAAGTATTATAGGAAAAGTAAAATTTTCCACTTTCTGTAATTATTTTTTACAGAGATATTTACTGATATATCCTTAATTACCGATTAATTCAAGACTTATTTATTTTTGCTAATCTAGATTAAGCAAAATTGCTTACAACGAAATTAATTTCCAACTAAAATTTATTGTTTATCCTAATCTAATTTTTTTTAATCTATTAAACAACAAAAAATTATTAATTCCATGTTAGTAAAATAGTACTGACAATAATAAGTTAATCGCCAATTTTCAGAGTTTGGTCATCATAGTCAGCAAAAAATGGTAAAAACCGTAAACAAAACAGTCTTAATAAATCCGTTTTACTTGTGTTTTATAACATTTTCTGAAACAAAATGTGGTATATTTGATTGTTTGAAAGACAAAAAGTGAAACACCGTAAAATAACAAATTTCAATCAGGTTTGTTCCTTGTAGCTGAATTTTTTTCCCTCTTCAATTTTTCTTATCTATTTTTTTAAGTGAGATGGATGTATATTTAGGCGCTGGAGAAGAAAGAAAGATCAAGAAATCTGGAGTGCAGAAAGTGTATGTAAAACGAACGAATCCAAGAAAATTAAAGTACACTGTACTGGAGTCAGGAGTAGTAGGGCTGGTGTCTCAAGGGACTAAAGGGGTGAAGGGACTAGTACCGAGATCGACGTCTGTCGACGTCACTCTCGTCAGTTGACGTAAGGGCGAGTTATAAACGCGTTCCGTTGCATGTTTATCGCACGGTAAGCACCAGCCATGTGGAAAAAGGGTAACGTTCGCACCACGAGTCTCGGGCATTCGTGCGACCGATGTTAAAAAGACGCTCGACCAGCTCCTCTTTGTAATGCCAATATCAATGTATGTATCAAGCTAGCAGTCTGAACGATGGGCTCATGTTGCTCGACGAGTTCACATAATCCACAGGCGACGTTCGTAGCAGGGTGAGATTTGCCGTCCGAACCTCGTCGCGCAAGAACATGAATAAGAGTCACGCGAATAAGAAGTTGAACCAGCTGCCGAGTTGGCTATGGACCAACTCGACCACCTTGCCGCCGGTTTACAAGATGGTCTGGGAGGCGGTGCGGGAGGATCGGGTCAGGTCGAACGGCATGCAGACCGAGCTGCTCGTCGACACCAACAAGGTGTTCCCGTTGTTGCTTACCAGCCAGTTGCCTACGGAGGTACTCGGTCACATATGGAGCCTGGCAAACCAAAAGTATGCTGGACAGTTGACTGAGCAAGAGCTGTATATTGTCCTGGCTCTCGTGGCGGCTGCTCAGACGTCCTACACCTTCAACAGTCTTGATATACTGCATTTGCTCCCTTTTCCACCAACACCTTATCTAAACATAGAATGCCTGATGAATTTGCAGCCTACAGCGCAGGCAAATGCACTAAAATTTCAGCACTATGATGAACCCAGTAATATGGGTATAGAAGGAAAATACATTCCTGACATTAAGGGAAAAACTAAAGCTAGAACCCAAGTAAATACAGTGCCTGATGCAAATATATCCTTCTCTGGCAGTACGTCTGGAAAATTATCTTATTCCGATAGCAAGATTCAGGTGCCTGGTATAACTGGGAGTAATGTCAATAATCTGTTCAAAGATGTGAAACAAAATCTGCGTGTTCAAGTTGATGTTCCGTCTGTATCATCCTTCGACGAGTCCTGTGATGAATTTACAGAGTTTCAAAGCGCTCCGATCCCCAGTGTTTCCACTATGCCAATCTGGGACAGCAAACAAGGTTCCGCGATTGGTAGCAGACTCGCTAATCATAATCTAGGAGTGAAGAAAACAGTTGACAAAATCAAGAAAACTACTGTTGGAACAAAAGCCATACATATTAATCCACAAATTCGTACATCTGCACCTGCAAGTTTGCCATATCAAAGTAAAGATCAGCCCATAGTAGAATCCACATCTAATGTGTTTCCTAAATGTGGAATAAAGAATCAGTCCAAAACAGTAATACTTAAGGACACTGTGATTAGAAATAGCGACATGCCTAAAGATTATAGCGATAGTTTTAATAGTCTGGCAGGTATGGCAGAGCCTGTCAGCAGCGAGATATTACCTAAAGTGGAATTAGCATCTAAGGTAAATAACAAGCTTGTCAATTATGTAGCAAGTATATCTTTATGTCTGTACAAGTATAATGTCAATATGATTTTTGCTGATGTATATAAATTTATCTGTAGGCCATTACAGTAGAAATGTCTGATTCTGTTCAACAAGATTTAATGAGTTTACAACAAGTCGAAGATAAATACAGTGCGTTGCGTGAACTAGTTCAAGAAACGTCCGTCGTAAACGATATGAGCTTAGATTTAACTTTTAATAATCAATCGGCTGATGAATTCGGGGAATTTATGTCGGCAGAACAACCATCTAATAATCCCACGATGTCAGATGCTTTGGATATTGAAAATTTTAGTATGTTTGCAGATTTTGAGTTTAAAACGCACGCTAACGCTGATAATAATAATTTAGCAGATCTGAACTTTGTATCTGAAGTATCTGAATCGTTTAATAATCTAAAACTTGATGATGGAATTGAAGCACAATTTGTAGAGACAGGTTAGTGCTCTCATTACTCGCGACAATTTTATTTTCGCTTATGTGTCATTTTGCTTGAATCTAGTAGTATATATTATTCTTAGGAAAGAATGTTCAAAAAGAGGATGCTATTTCGATAAATAGTATAGAATTGATTAGTGGTCCATCCGAAGCACTGCCACGTTCTGGATCTGTGCCTAGCTTAGATCTTAAATCATTTTTGCCTTCTAATGTAGAGGAAGAACAAGTTATAGAAGCTCCACAGCAGGTAATCGCGTGCAATTGAATTGTCAGGAAGTTGAGATATAGAGCGAATTATCGTTTGATATTTACTATCAAGTGTTTCTCTGTTGCAGACCGTGTATTGGGAATGGAAACAATATATGGAAAGTTGTGTTTTATTATTGCAAGTCGCAGCCAATATATTTACCAATATCACGTCAGAATTAGTTCTGCATGAAGTTTTAAATTCAGCCCAGGGATATAACTTTCTTTGCCGTAAGTATTTGTTTCAGTAATATATTTTACTTAATATAATATTAGACATGTATGTACTATCTATATTATTTATTCATTACAAATAATAAAACCATAAAAATATAAAATATATTTTGTCATTAGAATTAGCTGAAGTTGCAGCTGTTTGTAGACGTGTTAATTTTTCATATAAAGAATTGGATATAAATATTATTGGGTTTGATGACCTTTTAATGGACATTGATCGGATCTGGGCTGAAATGGAACCTTTTTATGCAAACATACCAGTAAATATTGCCTAAATGAACTATTAATATCTTTAGATATTAATGCTGTTAATATGTTTACATGTACAAATGTAAAGACACAAATGTAAAAGAAATATCCTTTTTTTCTCTAATATCCATTTTCAAACTTTTATAATATTATACATTTGTATTAATATATTTCAGATCGTCACTGAACTACCAGCTTGGCCATTACATCAAGGAGAATGTATATCTTGTTCCCTATGTTTAACAGTTATCACGAGTGGTCGAGTTGTATATAACGATAATAATTATCATGTAACATGTGCAAATTTATGGCTCAATTGTGTAAACAATCAGTTGCCAGTAATGCGATATTCTTTACTTTGTCAATCGACTATATGTCCAGGAAGCCACATTTAAATGCTAATCTGCCCGTTGAAAGGTTTTCAAACTCAAAATAAAAATATGCTATTCAGATCTTATTAAGGTAAATAGGGGAACTTGGCATAAAAGTGATCTTTAAAAATGGAGTTCTGATACAATTTGCATTTAATATAATGAAAGACACATATGTATATAAACAAAGCAAAGTGCAGATTCGATGTTCATTAAAATCGTTTATTATAGAGACTTATACTTTACAAAAATTCTTAATATAACATAGTTATACGATTAAATTAGCAAAAATATTTATATATTTAGCTTAACAAAATGAATAATGATCGTATTTCAATTGATCTAATTCTAATGCAGTATTAAGAAAAGTTCAATATTTACATTTTAAATAAAAATTTCTATATAATTAACGTTGACTCGTGTCGCGTGGCCTATATACTATTCCTCTGCTCTTCATTTCTCTGATGACACCAGCTGGTAATCGTCCTGATACTGATATGGCATAGACGCCCTTACAAAAACGATCTGAAGAAAATAGAATCTCGATATTAACATTGGCCACTCTTGACATAATTATGTATACATATATATATAGACTGAGATACAATTTTAATTCTGAAAGTGTTTGCGAAAATAGCATTCTACTTAAATAAATCTTTATAATATATATACGCACATAAGTATGTTCCTAGATAAATACATACTGGCATTTGTAAGAATAATATGTCTGTATAAATGTATTATACGTTTAAAATGAAAATCTCAGAAATAAATATATTTATTAAAATATCTAAATACATATTATAAATAATTTTAGAATTTATAGTCTTCTCAGTGCCTTCTATGCACTTTTAATTTTTAGGAATTTTATTCTTTTTCTATTGATTTACTACATACACATAATTTTGAAATAACAAAATATTTTAAAAAATTCTTGAAGTACAATCAGAAAATTATATATATTACAATTATATATATTAGTAATAATTTGTAAAAGAATGTTAATTACTTGAGTTATATTAGTGTATTTATTGTAATACTTACTTATTCTCTGCCACTTGGACACCCAACTATCTTCTGGACTCATTAATGCGATCACTCTAAAATATAGAAAGTAAAATATGTACAGAGAAAATAAATACATAGGAAGAAATCATTTTTTTATTTCTTCATAATATAATTATTTATTAAAACAAGACATTATTTTAAACTGTTAGCCATTAAAATTAGAGAAACAAGTAAAAAATTATATTTAAAATATCACTAACATCTTACAGTGTACAACAAATTCTCAATAACTTTTGCTCATAGATACAAAAAAGCTAATATTAAATATTCACAAAGCTGCTAATGTACACTAAAAAAAAAGTCATTCTTAGCCAACTGTACATCTGTTATTAGTGTATTACCCATCAAAATTGGAACTCGTGCAGTCAAAAACATTATCCTTATTGTTCTTCATACGAAGAAAATCATCACAGTTGTCACATCCATCAAATTCAAATTGGTCAAAAGTCTGTGAAGTAAAAATATAATTGCATTCATTCTAATATATAAGGTGTCTTCCATTTATGGACACAAATCGACATAATATCGTTCTATCTTTCTTTGCATTCTATGAGTAATGAACAATACTTGGGTCCACCTTTGTTACTAAGGATGCGTTGCACTAAACGTTCACAATGCTCCCGCGTGTATCATTTCATCTTTGTCTAATATTTGATGACAAGAAGGATGATACTCGAGAGTGTGAACGTTAAGTGGAACGCACCCTAAATGGAAGGTATCCATAAATAAGTTCTGTAGATGTTACAATAATAACCTGGTTGAAGGGCTGATCATATTGTAATGCAACATAAGATTTATGAAATACCCACCTTAATCAAAGAGCATACCAAACACGCTCTTAATCCACGTAAATCTTTCGGTACGGTCTCCATTGACATCGTCTCACAACAATATCTCACGATAATTACAACTATTACAAGTGAGGAAGATAGTTCGAATTACTTTGAAATTAAAGTAATAAAGATAGTTACAAGTATAAAATCTCTTTGCAATATGTAACGACGCGAAAACAGATAAACTGCTGTTGACAGCCGTTAACAGCCGTTTAACTAGTTACTAGTTTAGTAGTGTTAGGTTAGAGTTACGTTCTAGATCAACGCACCAATCAACGTACTAGAATGTTCATTTAACCGCGGATACCATCATCATCCACCACCAGCCACCATCGAGAAGTGGCTACGTTTACACCGTGCATTTAGGCCGCGGCTTATACAATAGATGTCCTTGTTTATCCTGTAGGTTAAACAAAGATACCTATCGTATAGGTCGCGGACTAAGCGCACGGTGTAAACGTAGCCACTGACCGAGACTGCTAGGCGCGGTCCACTTGACGCTACAAACGCTTCGAAGCATTGGCCGCGTTCAGCAGACTCAACAGTTTTGCAACCGTTTTTTGATTATCTGCTGAGATAGGACCATTCTTCTAGATCTAAAAGTATGATCCAATTAGCGCGAAGGAAACTTCCAACAGTTGCAAAACAAACGTTCTGC